CCTGGCTCAGTGCTCAGGGATCACTCCTTACAGGGCTCAGGGGGTCCGGAGGCTGTGGCTGGCATTGGCTGTGTGCCAAGCAAGCACCTTACCCGCTGGACTCTCTCTCTAGCCCCTCTCTGTGCTTGAATGAATATTCCAGCCTGACAGCATCATTGGGAGGACAAGATGGTCGGGAATGTTATGAACTAGGGACCAGAAAGGTGGGGGTTGAGGCTATGCGCTCGAGATGGTCAAGGTCAGAAGCACTTTTCTTTTTCCGGAACAGTTTTAAAGCAAAACTAAAGTCCTCGCTGTTGCTAGGTGAGAGGGATTTTTTTTTTTTCCCCTTTATTTTATTTTATTTTTTTTAAAGTTGTAGATTTACAATTTTTTGTGCTTTGGTTTCAATTATACAATGATCAGATACCCATCCCTCCACCAGTGCCCATTTTCCACCACCATGGATAATATCCCTCCCACCCCCATCCCCCCATCCCCCCGTCTCTGTGGCAGGGCAATCCAGGTGAGAGGGATTTGAAAGGCTCACTGGAGCACAGGGCCATTTATGCGGGGACTCCAGCCTTTCTGTGGCCTGTGTGCCCTGTTGTGTTTATTGTGGAACCTGCGATTTGCTGGAAGTCGGTGTTAACAGGGAACAGAACCTTGGGTCACTGCAATTTGCATTGGCCAACACAGTTCTCCTGTCTTGGCCAGATTCAAATTTAAAACAATTTAAATCATTTTTTGAGAAAAATAAACTCATTTGTAACTTTCCCCTTTATGCTTAGGTACCAAAAAATAGCTGTTTCTGAAGCTTTTCTACCATAATCATAAGCTTATCATTTTCTCATACATAGGTAATGTTCTGTCTCCGATCCTTTCCGTAAATTTCACACACACATACATACACACACACACCACACACACACACACACACACACACACATATATATACATATACAGATGGGCTGGAGCGTTAGCACAATGAGTACACACACACACACACACATATATATATATATATATATATATATACAGATGGACTGGAGTGATAGCACAGTGAGTACACACACGCACACACACACACACACGTGTGAGCTCCTGGTGAGCTCAGGAGATCATAGGTGTACAGGATGTTGAACCCAAGTTGGCTGTGTGCAAGGCACTTACCCTATCCTCTGTACTATTGTCTCGTATCCCAGATTTCCCTTCAATTTTAGCTTTAGTATATGTTGGTTTAGTATTTAGTTTAGTGTATGTTATTTTAGTCAGTGGACAATCTGGACTATTGGTAGTATCACGTAAGTATATAATGATGCAACAACGTCTAGAATATTTTTTAATTTGGTCCCCCCATTTTCCACTTTAATTTTTGTTAGACTAGAGAACAGGATTCCTTTTTTATATTGTCGAGTGAAATTTATGGTTAAGAATCAACAGGTTAAGTTAGTATGAGAATAGATTTAAAAGTAGAAATTTATCCTGAATAAGTGAAGAAATTTGCACAATTTCTCTTTTAAAGACATTCAGGAAAAACCAAGAGCTAGATATAATTTGAACTGCCACTTAGGATCATTCAAGAGGGAAAAGTGGACACTTAAGGTAATTTTCCATTTTCTAACTAGAAAGAACATATCCCACTCATGACTGAATTATTGGCCACATGATACAACGTATTCTGGTGCAGGGTGTCTAGACAGTGCTATATGCCCATTGGGAACTATGCAAGTGCATGACAGGTAGAAACCCTTTTCCTGACTACAGTGAATGCCAAAGGACTCTAGTTGAGCCTGAGAGAGCAGCGCCACCTACTGCACACAAATTTTATATACTTTTCATTTTTTTAGGTTTGAGAGTCATCCGCACATCACCCCTTCAGAGCGGACACAATACATTTACAACCTGTTCTCTCTGAAACTTTGCATCTGAATCAATTTATTGAAATTTTTTTCTTAGTATGTGTACATAACCCTAGATAGTCACATAGAGGGAAAACGAGAGAGAGAGAGAGAGAGAGAGAGAGAGAGAGAGAGAGAGAGAGAGATAGAATATTTGGGAAATAAAGGCAAAGAACTTATGGGGAAAAATAAGAATATGGAGAATTCCTTCCTGGTGTGTATGGGTGTGTCTTTCATTCTGAAAATAAGTTTCACGTATCTCCAGTTTGAACTTGACATGTGCTAATGACATAAAAATCAAAATCTGGGTTGGAGAGATTGTCTGGGGAGAAAGGTGTTTGCTGAGTGAGCTGCAGAGCCCGCATCCATCTGAGCACTGCACGGGTCCCTGAGCACCTCCAGGATGGATCCTGATCAGAATGCCAAAAGTAATCCCTGATCCACCTGATGTGGCCCCAACACAAATAAATCACAAAACAAGTAAAAATCAGGAGTGAGCCTGTGCCTCGCTCATGTTCCCTGTTAGGCCCCCACAAATGAGTCGTGTATTAAAGTATCAGAGATTCGATAGTTCTTCCTTGTGTCCTTCTCCCTCTAGGATATTTTCATTCCTGTCATAACACCCCTAGTTTTAAACTATGTTCAATTCAAAGCTTCCAGTGCTTGGAGCAGTAGCATAGCGGGTAGGGTGTTTGCCTTGCATGTGGCTGACCCAGGTTCGATTCCCAGCATCCCATATGATCCCCTGAGAGCCTCCAGGAAAAATTCCTGAGTGCAAAGCAAGGAGTAACCCCTATGCATCGTCAGGTGTGACCCAAAAAGCCAAAAAAAATTTACAATGCTTATTGTATGTAATATATTTTACATTAAAATATCCCTTAACCACTTACGTAGAGTATTAACAAGAGCACATTTTTTAAATTAAGCTTTGTTTATTCATTTTCCCTTCAACCATTTTAGTTTAATTCATCGAGTCTATTGCAACACAAAATAAGATAAATAAGTCATGGCCGACATAGTACAATAGTCATTAAGAATCTTCTTCTCATTCCTGATAACGTTTCCAAGGTCTCAACTGATTATTGAGTGTTCACAGCACTTGCAATAAAGAAAAATCTTTGGTTCTGGAAAGGTCATACCATCGCAGATTCTAACTCATAATTAATTTTCAGCGTCTTCTATTAGATTCTATTTGTCATGCTACTATATACTTATTTATTAAAAGATTGACACACAGTCCAGAACTTCCTGTCTCTGAGATTTGACAGTTTTTATTTCCAAATAAATTGAGATATAATCAAGCCTATTTCTCTATCAGATGCCACAGTGATATCATTAAAACATGTTAGAAATGCAAGCCTGCCCATAGCACAGATGGTTTCAAGTCTGTGGGCTGATCTGAGGGAAAGCTATTCAAATTTCAAATATTGTCGGTTTGTTTTCTCGTATTAGTCTATATCTTTTAAAACAGCTTGATTTTTTTTAATAAATTTTTTGGTGTGTTCTGTTTATTGTAACTTTACTATTTGATCAAAATCTAGTGGGATTCTCCTTGGTATTTCAGCATTAAACTCAGTTCTGGAGCGTCTATAGTAAAGCATCAGCCCTTTGTCCTTAGGGAGTTGCCAATCTTCAGAGAAAATAGTGGCTAGTTAGGGTAAGGAGCTATGGGTTAAAAAGCAAAGAAGAAAGAGGGAACCCACTCCAAGATGTGGTGGTTAGGAGCAGTGGGGACAGTGGAACGGAAAGCGGCTTCCAGGTAGAAAATCAGAATTGATCCCTCAGAGGAAATGAGATGTGTGGAAATACAAGAAGGGTCAGGGCTTCAGGGTTAGACCTCGGGTTTGAGAAGACAGAGATATGGGTGCGCTGAGTTGGGAAAATCCACGCTTAGTTTATTGAGGGCAAGATTACAAGTGAGAACTTCTGAGTGTTGGGGCCAAAACCCTAGGCATAGTTCAGACAGTGGAGGGATCCCTTGCAATTGGGACCCCCTGCATTTGGGACCCCCTGTACTGGGGACCCTCTGCATTTGGGACCCTCTGCATTTGGGACTCCCTGCATTTGGGACCCTCTGCTGCATTGTCAATGTTTTCATATATTTCCTCCCTTTGGCATTGGGGAAGTCAGGAGAGTGGGTGGGGTGCACCTGGCTGGAAGCACCCTCTGAGAAAGGATTTGAGCCAGGGTTTGACTGGAGGGAGGGAGAAGAGGTAGTGAGCAAGATGAACCATGATCTAAACCAACCGTCAGTAAATAAGGATGGGAAAGCATAAGGAGCAATGATTGGCAGCTAGCACAGCAGTAGAACTAATGGCAGGACCCATCTAGGGGAAGACTGTAGGACAGGAACGTAGGAAGTTCTATTTCCATCATGGGCAGAGTTGCCGGTGCCATGTCTGAACACACAGGCAGTGCCCAGATGAGGGGCAGAGAAGAGAGAAGAACCCCTCTGCCTCTTTTGATGCACTCAGCGTTCACAGCAGGATCTGGGGGCTGGCTGAGGAGAAACTGTTAAAGGACAGAAGGAAGCTTGGGGGACACTGGGACAGTGGTGGAGGGGCGCCAGCATTGGGGGTCGGTGTGGAGCTGGAATAGTTTACGCATCAAATCTGACAGATTTGTTTATTGCAGTGCCTAAAATAAAATTTTAAGTGAAAGATTTTTTTTTTTTGCGGGACTTCCTGTGCCCAATCATTGTATTTCCTGCATATTCTTTGAACTCTGGGAGACCCTTTAACCATGGAAGACTTCCAGATCGGGTTTTGTCAACAAGACTTGAATGCTTAGTGGAGAATATATGAGAAACATGATGGAATGGAGGAAAAATTAAAGAGGAGAAGAAAGATCTCAATGAGACTCCTGCAAATCGAATCGCCCTGAATTCTTTCTCATTATAAATACAGATACATCATCAAGCTACCGAGAGTATTCGATAAGCCAGACACAGTAACAACAAAGTCTCCAATGGAGACGTTACTGGGCCCGCTCGAGCAAATCGACGATCAATGGGAGGGCCTTATCGAACTGAATAACGAGAAGTTGGTTCTGTCCCCACGACCCTTCTCTCTCTCTAGCTCTCTCTCCTCACTGTTCTGACTCCCTCCTTCCTTCCTGCAGAGGACTGGTACGAGCAGCTGTACCCCCTCGCCCTGACCCTGAAGGACAGCATGGCAGAGGTGGTGAACAGAGCCAAGCAGTCGCTGACCTTCGTGCTCCTGCAAGAGCTGGCCTACAGCCTGCCCCAGTGCCTCATGCTCACCCTGAGGAGAGACATTGTCTTCAGCCAGGCAGTAGGTGCCCGCATTGGGCATGCCCTCCTGGGGGCGGGTAGGGCTCTCTCTGTGGCTGCTTTCTCTTTGAAGGAGTCCTCTGCTTACTCCTGGCACCCACTTTCCTCCAACACGTGACCAATGGGAGCCAGTTGTTTCATGAAAGCTGTTTCATGTGAAACCCTAGATGTGTATTTCTGCAGAGAGGTGACAGCTCTCTGAGCATGCGTCAAGCTGCTCCGGGCAGAGGATCTGGGAGGACAGGGTCTCCCCATCCTGTCCTGCAGTACTCTGGGCTCCCCGGGAGAAGGAAGGTGGTGTTTGCTTTGCAGTGCAGGCGACAAGTTGGTCAGGCGCCCGGGATTTTTGTGCCCCTTCTTTATCCAACTCATTCATGAACCCCAGAGCAAGTCCTCAGAGCAATTTCTTGCTTTTTTGCTTTAGTTCTAGAATCAAGTTTCTGAGACAGAGAGCTGCCTGGAAGCTTTGGCAGGACCCTCTCCTATGCCTGCATCCAAGATTAAATACCATCATAGCAACTGGGAAGGGGAATGGGAGGCCTCCCCTCTCCCCCCCCTCTCCATCCCAGACACAAGAAGTGGGAGAAAGTCCTCCATTCACAAGCCTTTATGCATGAAGGGATATTTGATCAGATGGTCCTTGGCCCCAGAGGATGCCATGGATCAAGGTTGCCAATGGCGTTATAGCAGATGAAGCCACGTCAGGCACACGTATACATTTCTTCAGGTGTCCTTTCATGGAAATGGGAACTATTTCTCCTCTTTTCCACATATAAGAAATTAAATAATGGGGGCTGGATCGAAAGTGCATTGCCTGACATGAGGCCAATCTGGGTGCAATCCCCAGCACCCAGGTGGTCCTCTGAGCCTGCCAGGAGTGATCCCTGAGCATAGAATCAAGAGTAAGCCCTGAGTTCATCTGGGTCTGGCCTCCAAACACAGAACATTAATTAATAATAAAGGAGTTTAGAGTGCTGAAATGCTGTTTATGGCCTGATTGTTCGAGCAGAGCGGAGCGGGGACTTGGTGACAGCGCATTGCCTCAAGGCCCTGCTGTCTCCTTTCCAGTCCTGTCTTCCCCTGGCCATTTCTCATATTCACCAGGTCAGGCACTTTCAGCTATTTTTTTTAAGACTCTATAAAAGTTAGTGTTTGGTTACAATTTCTTGAAAAGATTAAATCTTTGAGGCCTCAAAGTTCTTAAGATATTTAAAAAATAAAACCAGCCAATAATGATTCTGGTGATTTTTTTTTTCAGCTTGCTGGATTGGTTTGTGGTTTTATCATCAAGTTACACACAAGTTTGCATGACCCCAGCTTCCTCCAGCAGCTTTACACGGTGGGACTGCTAGTGCAGTATGAAGGCCTGCTGAGCACTTACAGTGAGTACTCACTCCTTTGGTTCATGTTCAAGTCATATTCATATTAATGGCAATAGTTGCCCATAGAGTGTTCCGCTGAATATGAACGAGAAGTCAGTCTGTATTGCGTCCACACTGCAGAATTCGTGTCACTCTTAATTCTTCGCACTTACTCACCTTGCAACTGTGCTTCTACCCCATTATGTTTTGGAAATAGAATTATAGATTACTTCATAGTGGAGTCCTGAGCAAGCCATATGGCTTCTTTTTTTTTTTTTAATAGAAAGGCTTGTTGCCAACATAATTTTAATGGCTGGATTTTTAGTCCCAGTTCTCTGGTGTCTAGAACTTGATTATGCCGTTCACAGCCTGAATGATTATTGTGTACTTGAAACGTGTCTAGTCGAAATCAATATGTACGAGACATGAAGACCATGCCTTGTACATATTTCAATGACCAGTAGCAACAGTTTACTATTAATAAACTATAAAATGATCTTTTAGATATATTGGGTCACAGAAAAATGTCTTATGAAAAAGATTTCCTTTAAAATTTTACTCTTAAAAATATACTTGCCACAGAACTAGAGAGATATTGCAACACTCTGATCCTGTGCTCTACTGTGGCCTAAAGACCCAAGTCATTCCCCATCCCCAGGATACTGGATTCTGGGTGGCCCCTAACACTGCCTAGATCAACCGCTAAGCACTAAGCCAATAGCAGTCTCCAATTTACAGACCCCCTGTCCCGCCCCCCCCCAATAAAAAACAATCCAAAGGAAATTTCAGAGTATATGTGAGTCACATTAGATGTTTTGGATGGTGCTAATCTGAAGTCTCACTTCATTACTTCCTCACACTCATACAGGTAGGCCTTGCGTGCCAGTGAGTTGAGAAAAGAAGCTACCAGAAGCCTAGGTCAGGGATTGTCAATAGAACCACCTTTACTATTCCTAGGAATCAAAGGTCTGGTCTGCCAGTGGAAGGAGATCTGTGTGGGACTTCTCCTAAGGGAATACATACCACCAAGAACCCCATCAAAGAGACTCACTGACTTAGATACTCATTCACTGAAAATACTTGAGCACATTCCAGCAGAAAGGTGTCACACCAAGTGACATTTTCTTCAAATAGTAAAGGTGTAATGATGTTCCTTCTCCTTTAGGTGATGAAATCGGAATGCTAGAAGACATGGCTGTTGGCATTTCCGACTTGAGGAAAGTCACATTTAAAATAATCGAAGCCCAGTCCAATGATGTCTTACCCATGATAACAGGGAGGCGGTAAGTAGAATTCCCAAGGAGCGAGCCTGGTTGCTTCTTTGACAAAGGAGTCAGGAGGAATGAAGGTTTGACTTAGAGATTTTTTTGTTTTAGTCTTCTTTGTCTTTTTGGTGAGAAATTAATGCATTGACAAGGCAGAGGAAGATCTTGAAAAAAATCCCAGAATTCTTAATGTATGTAAAGTATAATGCTGTAGTTTGTTGAGTGCTGCCAGGCACCCCCTGACCTCATGAAATGTAAGGGATTCAAAATGAGGAATTCAAAATAATTGTGGGCAGAAGAACATTTCTCTCTTTACTACTCTCATCTAAAGCTCTGGATGTTTTCATTTTTGCCAGAATCATTTGGTTAATAGCACCATAATTCTTAAGATGACTTTATTTTAAAATCTGTTCAAAGCAGCTTTTTTAGAAAAAGATATATTCCTAAGGCAAGGGCATAGAACAGAATTTTTTCCCCTTAATTATTTTTGACAACTTACTCCCAGACTGAAATTTCCAAGAATGGTTTTAAATATATAGCTTCGGAGGTCAGTCTATAATGGGCACCGTATCAAAATCATTTAGAAAAAAGATGGTGTGTAGAATAGATCTCCAGCTGAAAAATTATATCCTGTGCTAAATTATTTTTATCAGAAGTCCAGCAAATTTGAATCATTCAGCATCGCCACTCTTAGAATGCTACATGGGGATATTTGGAATTTGTATTCCTTTCAGATCACAGTGAAGACAATGTATGAATGTATCTTTTCATGCTAGAGAGAACTGCAGAAGAGATTCAGCATAGAAGTTCAAACCAACTTTGTTTTTATGTTTACAGTAAGCATAAGAGAATTGCTTCTAATATTGAATGAAGGATATCCAGAGAGCCATGGTTGAAAGCAAGGAGGTTGTTCCTTAGAAATAAAGGAAAAACACATCCTCACAAAACCAAATACTTCGTTGGCAAACTCGTGCCTGTTTTGTCATTTGTTGGAAGAAAATGAAATAAAATTGCTCAGACACACAGCTGGAAATTAGTAACCATTGTACCCATCTGAAACAAGGACAGAATGCTTTTTTCCTCCCCTCCTGAGGAGCTGCAAGCTGGATCCAAATGCAGAAAGAAGTTATCATACAGATGATCGTAGGACATTGACAATGGGGAGGGGGCAGGTTGGCCAATCTTCTCTCTTAAAGTGTTTGAATCAGGAAGAATTATCTAGAAGCACCATACCAGGACTAAAGAAATAAAGTTAGATGCACATGAAAGTTTTTTGTTTTTTTAATTTTATTGAATCACTGTGAGATAGTTACAAGCTTTCATGTTTGGGTTACAGTCACACAATGATCAAATGCCCATCCCTCCACCAGTGCAATTCCCCACCACCAATATCCCTGGTATACCTACCCCTTTCCCACCCTCCCCCTGCCTTCATGGCAGACATGATTCCCTATACTCTCTCTCTACTTTTGGACATTATGGTTTGCAATACAGGCACTGAGAGGTTATCATATTTGGTCCTTTATCTACTTTCTGCACACATCTCCCATCCCAACCGATTCCTCCAACCATCATTTTCTTAGTGATCCTTTCTCTATTCCAGCTGCCTTCTCCCCTTTGCTCATGAGGCAGGCTTCTAAGTATGGAGCAATCTATCTGTCCCGTGTATCTACTATCCTTAGGTGTCAGCCTCATGCTATGTTGTTTTATACGCCACAAATGAGTGTGGTCCTTCTATGTCTGTCCCTCTCTTTCTGACTCATTTCTCTTGACATGATACTCTCCATGTCTATCCATTTATAAGCAAAGTTCACGACTTCAGCACATGAAAGTTTAGAAATACTTAGTCATGAAAAACTAGTGAACACTAGATAAAATGTTGAGCCTATGCCATATCTGCCCATGGGAGCTCTGATCAGCCTTTGCTCCCTTGGTTTTATTGTGGGGAGGCTGTGATATCAGTGTTTTTACTAGCATACAGGACTGACTTGATTTGGAATGGGTGGCAGGAAAGGAAATCATATTTTTGGAATGTTGTCAAAAACCGTGGCAATTTAGATAGCACATCCACTCAGAATAGCATACAAATGAATGATTATGTCTAAATTTAATGGCCTAAATTTAACACTAATCTTAACTCAGAGATGTGTATACAGAACACACAAAATATTGCTTAAGAGAAACTAATAATATACAGCAAATGGAAAAATAGCCCATAGTGCTTCGATGGCAGTTCTCCACAAATTGATGTATAGATTTAATCACTATCTAAAGACCAAAATCTTTGTTGTTGGGTTTGCGTTAGTATCTTTTTTTTTGCATAAATTGGCAAACTAAACCCAACATTTTTAAGAAAATTTGAAGGACCCAGAATGCCCAGAACAGTTTTATGAAAGAAAAACAAAATTGAAGGATATTTACTTTCTGATTTTATGACTTCTATAATCCTATAATTTCAAAACGTCTATATTTCAAAACTCTAGCCATTAAAATTGTCTTAGACTGCTCAGATAGATACATATGTAGATAGAGAGTAGATAGATACGTGAGTGAGACCTAGGCCGGGAGCCAAGTATGGATATAGGTCAGTAAAATCAAATTTAGAGTCCAGAAGTAACTTATTACCTTAAGGTTAATTGATTTTAACAAAGTTGCAGAGGCAATTCAGTGGACAATGGAGAGGTTTTCTCAAAATCATGTTGCTGTGACAATTGATTATCTTTGTACTCAGGAAAATAATTTAGCGTCTCAATTTATATGAGAAACAAAAATAAACTAACAGTGAAGCATGAATCTAAATCTAAGAGCAAAATTATGAAACTTCTAGGAGCGACTACCTGTACCTTGGATTAGATTATTTTAAAAAATATACTATAGGGGCTGAAGAGATAGCATGGCATGGAAGGCATTTATTTGTCTTGCATATTGCTGACCTGGGTTTGATCCACCCTGAACCATATTGGCATCTGAACACAGCCAGGAGTGATTCCTGAGCACAGAAGCAGGTGTAAACCCTGAGAACTGCAACGTATGCCTCCCAAACCAAAACCAAATGAACAGAGAAATTCTTAGACGTAACCTAAAATCAACATACTAAATAAATAATTTTAAAAATAAGACTTTATCAAACTCTTAGACATAAGAAATACCAAGCCGCAGATTGGGAGAAAATATGCATGTAAAATGTCTTACATAAACTTTTATTCATAATATATAAAGAAACCTTACACTTTGCAGTTAGGTTTCTTTATTTTTTAAATTGGCCAAGAATTCAAATGAATTGGTATTTCACCAAATAAAATTTTTTAGTGACTAATGTGTATAAGGAAATGTGTTCACCATCATTATTAAGGTAAAGGTAAAGGCCCTCCCGTTGATCATCGATTTGCTCGAGCGGGCCCAGTAACGTCTCCATTGGAGACTTTGTTGTTACTGTGTCTGGCATATCGAATACTCTCGGTAGCTTGCCGGGCTCTCCGAGAGGGGCGGAGGAATCGAACTCGGGTCGGCCATGTTGGCTGCGTGCAAGGTAGACGCCCTACCCACTGTGCTATCGCTCCACCATCATTATTAGGATTATACAAATTCCCCCAAACCACAGATACCACCTCTTTCACAGTATAACCATCATAATTAAAAAATACAGATTATAACAAGTGTTAGAAAGGTTCTGGAAAACATGGAATATTTATGAATTGCTTATATATGATGTACTGCCACTATGAAAATTTTTGATGGCTTCCTTAAGAAAGTTAAGTTTAAAAGTACTTGATGAGTCTTAAGAGAAAAATAAAACCATGTGTATACACAAACATCAACTTATGATTATTTAAAGTAACACTGTAATAGCTAAAATTTTGAAATAATCTGCATATTTTTCAACTTGTGAATACATAGACAAAATGTGGAAGCCATAGAATAGACAATTCAGCCTGAAAAGGAACATATTACTTAACTGTACACAACACCGATGACTTAAAAACCATTATGCTAAATGAAAACACAAACAAAAAAAATTACATATTCCTTGAGTCCACTTACATAAAACATGTAGGAAAGTAAAATCTGTAGATCTAGGAAATGAATCAGAGGTGTCCTGGGGCTCGCAGCAGAAGGAATATTTGAATGCAAATAGACATGAGGATTGTGTGTGGGGAGGAGTTTATGGCAACGTTTTGAACTCATTCAGCTTCTAAGGGAATAACTATAAATTTTGCTAGAACTATGAATTATACTCTTAAAATACATGAGTTTATGTAACTTACATCTAACAGCTGACACAAAGCAATTTTAAAAAAATGTCAGTGGAATGAAAAAACCATGAAATCAAAAATATGTATGTGTAAATATATATAGCTATAACACATATATAAATTTAGATAGATAGATAGATAGATAGATAGATAGATAGATAGATAGATAGATAGAACCAGAAAGATAGTACAGCAGGAGAGGCATTTGCCTTGCATGTGGCCGACCCAGGTTTGATTCTCAGCACTCTGTATGGTTCCCCAAGCACCTCTATAAATGATCCTGGAGCATAGCAATAGGGATGTGTTCTGAGTGCTCCCTCCTCTCTCCCCAAGAAAGATTAGTAATATGTCCCACTGAAGGTATTCTTAAACGCTCCCACTTGCTAGATTCCTGGTATTTCCTGATCTGAGTGTGTTTGAGTATTGTGAGAGTAAGAAAAGCCAAAATGTTTTTACAAAGACAATCTCTCTTTGTCCTATGCGTCTTTCCCCATGCATTACAACTCTATAGAGTTCCGGAAACACATGGATATTCCTAAAATTCGACAAAATAATCTATGTCTGTTTTGTCAGTTCCACTGCAATGGCTATAAAATTTCAATAAGACAAGTTAGCTACTCTTACTGACTGTATTTTGTTAATCTTTTAAACATTTCAACTCTAAACATAAAGGTAAAGGTAAAGGTAAAGGTAAAGGCCCTCCCGTTGATCGTCGATTTGCTCGAGCGGGCCCAGTAACGTCTCCATTGGAGACTTTGTTGTTACTGTGTCTGGCATATCGAATACTCTCGGTATCTTGCCGGGCTCTCCGAGAGGGGCGGAGGAATCGAACTCGGGTCGGCCATGTTGGCCACATGTAAGGCGAACGCCCTACCCGCTGTGCTGATTGTTTATAATAGACGATCCCAATGGAACAACGTTATGTTCCTGTGGCAAAATGATCAAGGACCCCTAAAGATTATGCCTTAATGTAATGAGATGATACAGTTTCATCAAAACCCTTAACATAAATTCCCATCTTAGAGTTTCATTGGCAATAGAACCAGACTGTGTTCTTAAAATGCTCTAAATGATTTGGTTTACTTTCCTGTATTGAAAAATTAGTCACCAGATTACCTTTCTTATTATTGGGACTAATTAGCTTTAAAAAATTAAATCAGCAGAACAAATATTAGGGCTGAATGTGTCCAGAGTTCCACGCTATGAAAATGAATGAAACATTGTTCATTTCCTGAAGGACCTCATAGGAATGGTGAGAAATCAAACGTGGTGCCAAGAATGTTGATAGTAAAATGAATGAAGTCATCAAGTAAATTAATGACAGAAAGTAAGCACAGAGTCACGAAAAACCTTTACTCCATACTATATTCCTACTGTGTCATTGTTTCTTTCCCTTGAATCAACAATTGCATAAAAATAAATCATGGAATAATCAGTGTTCTCTTTATCCTCCACCATTTCCAGTGAACATTATGTGGTAGAGGTCAAGCTTCCAGCCCGCATGTTTGAGTGTCTGCCTTTACAGATTAAAGAAGGACAGCTGCTCCATGTCCATCCAGTTCTTTTTAATGTGGGAATCAACGAACAGCAGACTCTTGCTGAGAGGTAAGCTCCAGGTAGATGATTGGCACCTAGTTCTTCAGGATCATCATGGTGATGTGGAGTAATTCCATACATTCCTGCATGTAGAACTGAAATAGAGTCATGGGTAGCTTTTAACTTTTTATTATTACTTTATTATTTGATATAGCAAGGGGAGATACACATATAAAAGGAACCCCAGCCGGAGTTTAAATAAAATATAACAAAACAGTTAATAAACGTTGTTACTCTCAGAATAGTCACACAGAGTAATATTAATGTTTTCCAAATACATTATGTACATACATGGAATTTTAGATTTTTTTTGTTTTACATATGCATCATATTCTTTGTTGAATCTAGATGCCATATTCTTTGCCATATCTTGTTAAGTATGCTTTAGACTTTTACTAGTATTTTTCACTTAACAAAAAAATACCACTACGTTTACAGTCCTGTTGGATTTCAATGACGGTCAAGGTGCCTACTTTCATCTATTTCTTTCCAACTATTTCTTCTCTCCCTCATACCCCAATTTATTTCCTGAACAGCATGACTTTTCATAATTCTCACTTGCCTGTTACAAAATTAGATGACAGCTTTTATTGCAAGGTTAATTTCAAACTGTGTGGAAGCTATTAATCTCTTTCTTACAGTATGCATAAATCAGAATATAATTTTATTCTTGTGTTGCACAAGTTTTCTTCAATAATTAAGCACTTTTGCAAATCATATGTAAGATCAGATTATATTTCAATTATCTATATATTTGCCTCACAGCAAGTCCGATGATTGAGGTGAATAATATTTATGAACATCAGTTTGGGAGTGGTGGCAGAGAGCAAGCATTCTAAATCCTCTTTTCTTTGGTATATTAGAACAGCATTTTTCAAGGGGAATGAGAGGGCATGTGGCCAGAAAGTTCCGCGGGGGTGTGCACAAGTGAAAAATACACTGGGGGCTGCGGCGTGAAATTAGGGGATCAGCTGTTGTGAGAGAGGGTCACGGGAAAGAAACGGGTCAGCAGAGCCACGGCTGGAGAGAGGTTGAGCGTCATTGCAGTACCAAGGTTTGGGTTTGCAGTACCAAAGTTGAATCCTGTGCACATGTCCTTGAAAAATTGAGACTCATTCATAGACGGGAAGACTTCAGGGCTAGTTAGCACTGCATCCCCATGCTCTTTAGATGAATATGCACCATTCATATTGTTGCCCTTTCTTATTTGGCGGCCACTTTATTTTTAAAATGTCCCTTCCCTTCTCTCTTTTATCACTTGCATATTAGAGAAATTGTTTTCCATACCTGGAAACGCTAGAACATTCCTCAGACTTGGAAAAGAGTCTAGAGGATCCAGCAGAGAATAGCCATTGTCACCCCTCTCAGACCTCTGCCTCCAGTCAGGGTACCGTCTCCTGCTGTCTCTCCTCTGAGCTTCGTGTCCTGGTACTGTCTCTGAAGCTTGACATGTCTGTGTTGGTTTTTCTTCTGATATCTTACTAGATATTTGCTAAAACCATACACTGTTTTTTTCCCCCTGTTCTTAAACACATCTGTTTGCATTGTCAAAACAAAATACCACCAATTTTGGTTTTGTGATTTTTATTTTTTGGGTCACACCCTGCGATGCACAGGGGTTACTCCTGGCTCTGCACTCAGGAATTACCCCTGGAGGTGCTCAGGAGACCATATGGGCTGCTGGGATTCGAGCCCGCTATGCTATAGCTCCAGCCCCCAATTTTGCTATTTTGGATTAACCAACAGAAATGTATCTTTCCTACCTCTAGAGACAGGGAAGTCAAACATCAAGGTTCTGGTTGGTGGGTTTCTGGGGAGGGCCGTCTTCAGTGTTCTCCATCTGTATGCACAGAAACTTTCCTTTCCGAGGGAAACACAGAGAGAATTTTCTGGCATCTCCCCTCCTAAGGACACTACTGCTATCAGAGGAGAGCCCCTCCTTCACACTATAATCTCATTAAATTGAATAGACAGTCCATCTGCAAATACTGCCATTCTGGAAAGCTAAAGCTTCAACCAAGAATTTTGCAGAGATGCCAATATTCAATGTAATGACAAACATACTTTTGCAAACACCAATTGATTTACTCTTTCAGAGCTCATAGACACTTTCCTACAGATTTTCCTACGTTCCTGTCCTTTGAGTTCAATTAAGTATAGATATTGAGCATTGACTGTACTAAACTGTGGCCCCAAGTGGGTTGGGTCGCTGTCTTGTTGGAAAGACTGGTACACAAATACTACGCTACAGTTTGAGCCATACAATATACGAAGGTGAGAAGGGGCAGAAATAATAGAGGGAAGAATATGATTCACAGATGGGAGAGAATTTCACTAGGGAGGTCTCATCTGGCAGATTAGCCTTTCACAAGGCTTTGAAGGATGAACAGGAATTAATCAAGCTGAAAAAGAGGATAACACATTCTACTTAGAAAGAAAATAACATTTGAAAAGTTCCAAAGGCTTCAAAATACTGCTATTAAAGAACAAACATGTAATAATGTTCTCACAAGGGGTTTAGAAGTCTCTGTGTTTAGATACTAAAGAGACTGGAATTTAGGCCAGAGAGAGAGAGAACTGAGAGTAAGGTGCTTGCCTTGCACACAGCCAGCCCAGGTTTTATCCCTGGCACTGTATATGGTTCCCCTGAGCCAGCCAGAAGTGTTCCCTGAAAGCTGAGCCAGAAGTAAGCCCTGAGCACATCCAGGTGTGACCCCAAAACAAAACTGTGTCACTGTATCACTGTCATCCCGTTGTTCATCGATTTTTCTCGAGCAGGCACCAGTAACATCTCCATTCATCCTAGTCCTGAGATTTTAGCAAGTGCCACATTGGAGGCTCTTTCAAGGTCAGGGGAATGAGACCCATCATTGTTTTACTGGGTTTTGGCATATCGAATACACCACCGGGAGCTTGTCAGACTCTACCATGCGGGCAGGATACTCTCGGTAGCCTGCTGGGTTCTCCGAGAGCGAGAACTAGAAAATAAGAGCTTCCGGGAGCTTGGTTTTATAGTCTCTGGATCTTGGCCGTTGATGGGATTACACAGTGGCTGGGGGCAGTTGGTGGGTGTAACTGTCTAGCTACTGGAAGATTGCCATTTATTTATTTATTTATTTATTTATTCTTCCAGTAGCTAGCTAGACCCCAAAACTGACAGACTAAAATTTGCAATTAAGAAGGTGTTAGATGAACTTCTCCAGCATTCACTTTATTGTACTTGTATTACCTAGCACGTGATCCAAAAAAATATTTGTAGGACAAGGTGCTGCAACTGTGGTGTGAAGAGTAGACTGGAAGGGGAGGAGATTGGAGGCATGGTCCTTGGCTATGTGGGTGGCGTTGGAAGAGACTGATTAAATGCAATTAATTATCTTATAATGGTAGTAGTAAAGGAAAAGGTAAGAGCGCAGAGATGTGAAAAGAGTCATGTGTCATGCTTCATGGGTGGGATGGAGAAGAGAGAGGAAATCCAAAATGATGCTAAGATATTGGACCTGAGTTTATGGCAGAGTACTGAAAACATGTTTAGAAAGAGAAAAAAGGAAGTGGATGTGGGGTGTGTGTTGAGTTAGTGCTATTTTGCCTTGAAGTAAGATAGAATCATTCTCACTGAAATTTTTGGAGGTGCAGATTAGAAGACGTTCTTACAGTTCTTTTCCTAAAGAGACAGCAAAGTAAATTCAAATCTGGAGAACGCTTACCAAAATACCATGCTATTAGCATCCAGGCAGAAAGTTTTGACTTGATAAAAGGAACGAGCTGCCAAAGCATCTTCAGAGGAAACGAAATGGTTGTTTCACAGAAAGCAGTGTTGCCCATCAGGAACTGTTCCATGAGAGATTGTAGGGAGGCACCCTGCCTTCAGCAGTTGATGGCATGGTGAGATTTCACAGCCAAGGGTCCTGTCCTCATTTTCTGAGCCTCTCCTCAAACTTTCATGGGTGAAGTGGTTGAGAAGAAGAGGGTATTTTTGTTTTTTCTATATCTTCAGAGATTCAGCCCTGAAACCTGTGGGGAAACTGACAGTAACTATCAGTTCTGTACAGGCGATGAAGGATGAGGCTATTGATTTGTTATTTCATCCAAGTTCACATTTGGTGACTACAGAAATATTTGGGTGAGTGACAAGGATGGATAGAATCAGAGACACTGGAAATTGCATGATTTATATCACCATTGTACATGGTTACATGAGAGAGAGAAAAAAGGGAGAGAGAGAGAGAGAGACAGAGGAAGAGAGAGGGAGGGGAAGAGAGGGGCAGACTCCTTTCTTAGGACATAATGGTCATTAATATAAAAATGATTGATTTTTTTAAACCATTCTTTTTAAGTGTTATTTAAACTATCTTCATGACTTTTTTTTAGGTTTGGAGATGTCTCTTTGCAGGAAACTATTAACCAGGAGAATTTTGAGCTTCTGAAAAAATACTGCACAATATTTATGGAAAAGATGCCCCCTGAATGTAAGTATTTGAGAACGGGAAAACTATAAAAATGTCTTGATTATGAATTCCTAGGAAAAGTAAGGCCTGAGGTCAGTGGAAGAAAGCAGCATGGGGTGGAGAAATGAGAGAGTTTGAGATGAGCCGAGCCAGATGGCTGATTGCCAAGGTGGCATGGGGCACCTGCCTCTTTGCCTTGATTACTCATCGGCTATGCCCTGCTGCTCATGCTAGAACATTGATTTCAGTACCACTGGGAAGTGCCAACAATGGAAAACAATGACCTTATTAGAAATATCTGTGAGTCCAACCAGGAATACCATGTGCAAAGCTTAATAAAGGTCTAGGATTCTGCCTTCATGAACGATACCAGTTATATATTACATGCATGCAAGGAATAAGATGGAATACACATTGTACGAGGGATATAAAATGATAGAAAATGGAGAAAGTTTATTTGCTCTACTTATTAGAGTTATTGTGTAAAAATGCCAAAGCATTCAAGCTTCCAGAAATGTGTTTGACTCGGGAGGGGTTTTTGTTCTTGCTGATATTGTTTAATTATGCAGTTTTGCAATTTTTTTGTCACAATATTAAACCCAAATTGAGCAGTCCAAAAACAAAGAATCACGAATGTATTTGAGGAAGCTGGAGTGATAGTTCAGCGGGTGGAGTCTTTGCCTTGCATGTGGCCAAGCCGATTTCGACCCCCAAAGTTTCATATGGTCACCCATGCACCAATAGGAGTAATTCCTTAGAGCAGACCCAGGAATTACCCCTGAGCATCCTGGTTGTGACCCCAAAACAAAACAAATGAATAAATGATATATTTGAAGTTCATGTATTAATAAATAATATAAAGTTCTGGACTGGAGAAATAATACAATTCAATCCCCAGCACCACATAAGATCCCCAGAGCATTGCCAGGTGTGATCCTTGAGCACAGAAACCAGAGTAAACCCTGAGCACAGGTGGGTGTGGCCAACCTCTTGCCCTGCAAATAGTTTCAACAAGAAACTAGGTTTTAATAAAGTAGGAAATATTGCAGTAATTTTAACTAAAACCCTTTGCAAAGTCTGGCATTTAATTACAGGCAATTTGTTCGCTGATCTGGAGTCTATACTTAGTTTAAATGGAAGGTGAAAGAGTGTTTTAGTCTACTCATAACCCATTGAATATGGCACCAAAATATTTTGATGGCATATGCATCCCCATGTGTGAATAGTTGGAAAATGTTGTCCATGCTTTTATATATCATTTTGTTGCACAGAAAGTATTATTTTATGTCAAAATGAAATTAAGTACAGGGAAATATTTTAGCAACCAGTATGCTAGTAAAATTTAAACTTGTTAATTATTTGGAAAATGAATATAGTAAACAAAAATTTGCATTAGTAATTAATAAAAGTTTATTATAACTTAGAAGTTGTGGATAATTTTTTGGCAATTTATAGTTTGGAAATAATTTAGAAATAATTCTGAGAATTTTAATAAGCAATTTAAAAATTCTGAGAATTTTAATGAGCAATTACATATATGTGTGTATATCATCCTTTCAAAACGTGATCAATGAGCTAATAATATCAATATAATATCCTAATAATACCAATATTTCCTGTGCACTGTGAAAATTCACAGGTCCTGCTTCTGCCCTCCTGCAGGTCTATTGAACTTGTGCTAAAGAATGCCCCCAGCTTTTAAATTTAATGAAAAAATCCACTTCAGCTTCTATGATCATTACCAATTAAATACCTTCTGTGTCAAAATTTTGGTGACATTAAAAACATTTACTTTCTCCTAAGTATCCCTAATTCTGTAAAATATATAGTAGGCCAATTGATAGTCACAATTCAACAATCTGCAAAGGTAGGACCATTTCAGTTTAATAACAGCTGTCAGCTCTCCTGAGCACTCATCCTTTATGAGTTAATAATAGAAAGGGGGGTATAGAATTTGCTACCCACTAATAGTACCTCCATTGGAGACTTGGTTGTTACTGTGTCTGGCATATCGAATACTCTCGGTAGCTTGCCGGGCTCTCCGAGAGGGGCGGAGGAATCGAACCTGGGTCGGCCTTGTTGGCCGCTTGTAAGGCGAACGCCCTACCGCTGTGTTACGAAATGTGTCACCTAGACTGGTGATTTGCACACTAATAGGTCTTAAAGCTCTATTTTATTTGATATATATTGTATACACATATCTATTTCTATTCTATCAGATATGGGTGTATTACCCTCTCACCCCATCTTCCTTCTGTCATCAGAAAGACTCCTAGTAGGGATCCTGGCCGACAAGGCTGAGACGACCTCTCTCTTTCCCTCTCTGCTAAGCCTGGGACATGTCTGTTCTAGAGAAGCATGGACATCCTAGGAATGGGCGGTCTTCCCTACAACTCTGATGAATCTTTATCTGAAATTTTAAAAAATAACAACTCGGGGGCTGGATCACAGCGTAGAGGGTGTTTGCCTTGCATGCAGCTGATCCAGGTTCAATTCCCATCATCCCATATGGTCCCCCAAGCACCGCCAGAAGTAATTCCTGAGTGCAGACCCAGGAGTAACCTCTGAGCACTGCTGGGTGTGAATCAAAAAGCAAAAAATAATAAATAATAATAATAATAATAATAAATGACTTTGATATTAGGGTCTGGAGCGATAGCACAGCGGGTAGGGCGTTTGCCTTACAAGCGGCCAACATGGCCGACCTGAGTTCGATTCCTCCACCCCTCTTGGAGAGCCCAGCAAGCTACTGAGAGTATTCGATATGCCAGACACAGTAACAACAAAGTCTCCAATGGAGACGTTACTGGGCCCGCTCGAGCAAATCGACGATCAACGGGAGGGCCTTTACCTTACCTTTACCTTGATATTAGTGCCAGATAAAGACGTTGGTGACTGGAAGATCTCTTGGCTCTGGGTACCATGTGCTCTGATGACCTTCCTCCATACTTTCTTTGGTGACGCAGCTTGTAGACAGTTGTTCCTTCTGCTCCAACTCAAAAGCACAGATCACAAGCCTCAGACCCTTCCTGTGATTGTGGGGTTTCCTTTGATCAAAAGGGTAAATTCTAGTGGCACTGGGTATATGTTAGCATTCTTAGGGAGGAGAGGAGCCTCCCAAGCAGTGCTCAGGAGGTTCTTGCAGTGACTCTGGGCCAATTGGAGATACTCAGGGGTCCAGAGCATGCCAAGCGTTAAACATGGGTCAACTGCATGCAAGGCATGAGTCCTCAACACTTTGCTTTCTCCCCACCCCTGAGAGTTTCTCCGCTTGCTCAGATATCCCACTGGGCTTGATGAGCTCAGTTAAGTTTTCAGTTTGGGTTTGGGAAAAAGAGAACACAAGAGATGAAAGCAATTCTGTAAATCACTAGTGCCAGCTACTGCATGTTTTAGACTTACCATCCTATCTCAGCCATGGTTAGAAGCTCCTGACTGGTGGAAGATGGATGAACTTGCCTTTCTCTCTCCCTCCGATGGCCACTGAGACGGTGTTGATCATGCCCGATCTCTTCATTCCCTCTCTGATGGCATTGATAATCTCTTGACCCTTTTCCTAAATAAAGGCAGAGCCTGTTACAGATTACGCTGAAATGCCATCATCTCCCCACATACTAAAGGTGGGTTGTCCAGCTGTCTGCACTAAGGAGAAACATAAGGTGGGGGAAACTTTCCCAAGTATTTCATCAGTGTATCATGAGAACTGTATCAAATGCCTTTTTTAGACAAAAGAACTTAAGTTTGTAATGAGAATAAATAGATTGCTATTGTCAAATTTAATTGTATGGGTTTGGTAATTTCTTTTATATTTGCTGGAAACCTTATTTTAATTTAACAGGCATTGGTGGAAATCATATTAAGTGTAAAACTGTGCCAGTCACCGTGGATAATGAAAAATTAACAAGATAAAATCAGCTTTGTCTCTTGGCTCTTCAAATTAGTGACTTGAGGCTTGTCTTAAAACTGATGTCCTCCCTTCGACATATCTTGCTGGCTTAGTTCCACTCTGAGGAAGCGTATGTTCTTCCTTGAACCCATCTCTCTCTCTCTCTCTCTCTCTCTATCTCTCTCTCTCTCTCTCTACACACACACACACACATACACTCTTGCTCTCCCACTCACTCACTCACTCACTCACTCACTCACTCTTTTTCCCCTCCCATCTTTCTAAATAAGTTTTAATAGAAACCTTCTTGCTTCACTATAAAAAGAAAAATTAGTGACTTGAAAAAGAATCTTCAGGAGCTGGAGCAATAGCACAGTGAGTAAGGCATTTGCCTTGCACATGACCAACCCAGGTTCGATTCCCAGCATCCCATATGGTCCGCCGAGTACCGCCAGGAGTGATTCCTGAGTGCATAAACCAGGAGTAACTCCTGTGAATGGCCAGGGTGTGACACCCCCCCCCCCAAAAAAATAAAAGAATCTTCAGTATCTGTAGAACTCTTTCCAGTTGCTCTTCGGGGGGTGTGGCCCTATGTGAAATAATCTTATAAATGTTTACATATCAGATTTTGTTTTGAGAAAGAGGACTCTAGCTACGATGTGTGTAACTAGCTTGTGCTCTGGAAAAAACAAAGATGGGTCTGAGCAACCTTCTTTTCTGCATGGTACTGTTGATATATCCATGGTGCTCAGTGTCACCAGATGTGACCAGCAATTTCTGTCACTTGCTGACAGGTATGTGTCTTGTGATCCAAGTGTATAACAGGTACCATGGATCAGCATAAACAAGTTCATGGAATATGGCACATGCATCAGAGAGCAGAGTTCCACATTTGCTTTGTGATGAATGAAAATCAAACTAGCTTGATGGGCATTTTCTTCCCGTCTAGAGTCTGACCTCTGTGGCAGATGGGAGGAGTGGAGAGTGTGGGATTGGATCAGGGCCAGCAGGATCAGCTGTGTGTGCTGGAGAGATGTGTGCAGCAGAGCGCCAGGCGTGCTCCAGAGAGTTTGCCTAGGAATCCTCTCACTGTGTGTGCCTAAAACTGGCGTCCCCCTATGTGGACACATGCAAT